ATACATTTAAAACTTGTCCTATTAAAAGTTGTTTATAAATGCAAGAGCCATAGCTTTTTTAAACTATCGAAGTTTCTAGAAAATTCTAGATTGGCCTTGAATGGATTGAATATTAAATCAAGCGATATTTTAAAACGGACTAAGAAGGGTATAGCTACAAAGCTAGGCCTAGATCCACCTAATCACATAGAATCTATGGTCTTGTCTAGCCCTATTGATATGTATATAGCTTCTATTTAAAAAAATTAAATGGGGCCACCGGCCCCACAAGTATGGATATTATGAGTTCAATACCCTTCGTTATTTGTGTATGGATAATCAAGATTATGTGTATTCAGTTTGGTCAAGACCCATCTATTCATGTAGGAATACTAAGCCTATGGCTTTTTATATAGCTTATATCAGGAAAAATGGAAAAGGGCCTCAGCCCCAGAAGGATGGATAATATGTGTTAAGTACCCTTCGGTATTTGAATATGGATAATCAAATGTATGCATATTAAGTTTGGTCAAGATCCAGCTATTCATGTAGCAGTATATGTTGATCATTTTATTTATATAGCTCATATAGGAAACAAACGACATTTTTGGCCCACGGCCCCAAACGGTGTAGAGTTTGGAAATGAAACATGCTTAACTTTTGTATGTGAGCCGTAAGTAATAAGCCTGCCAAATTTCAGGCTTCTATCTACTGGGAAATTTGGAGAATTAGTGATGAGTGAGTGAGTGAGTGAGGGCTTTGCCTTTTATTAGTATAAATTAAAATCCGAAATAATTAAACATAGTTTAAGACGGAGCCACTATTTTTAAAAAAAGCGTCTATGCAATAAAAAAACCATGCAGATCCTAATGTTATATGTATATATACATTTTTTTTAAAGTTTTTTTTTTAAAGGAAGTATTTTTCACTGTGCCCATGTTGAGATTGCTATCTACGTCAAAGCCTTGTGTAATTTTCATCAGTATTTGTACTAGATCGAATCAATCTTTTTGTGGTTGCATTGATAGCTATTGAATAGAATGTAAATAAAATCTTCTTCAACAGATGTTTTGATAATTAATTTTTTAAAGTTCACTAATTTTATGTATTACTTTTTAAATTTAAAAGACAAATTATGTATTTTAAAGCTACATTCATCGCCAAGATAACCGTCTTTCTAAATTTTGTTAGAAAACTAAGTTTTCATGTAAGAATTCGAAAAAAGTAAATAAACTATAAAATTATCTACTCTGAAAAAAACAAACCATTCTTGTCTCCCCTTGTTCCTACCCCACTCTATGCCTAACAGGGATGTATACTTAAGTAAAGGATGCCTGCCTTAGTTTGGCCGTTTTTAGATGAATTTCAGATTCCATACGGAGCTATTTTTTCTTATTTATAATACAGGTAAACAAAAAGGACTTATATTAAGTTATTTACTTTTGGGTCTTAATGGAAATAGATGAATTCCTCTAAAATCATCATTAAATTCAATAGATGAATTCCTATAAAATCATCATTAAATTCAATAGATGAATTCCTCTAAAATAATCATTAAATGAAACAGTTGAACTCCTCTAAAATCATAATTAAATTCAATAGATGAATTACTCTAATAAACTTATCAATCAATTAAATAAACTAATTCGTCTAAACGCCTAATAAATTAAATAGATGAATTCCTCTAAATTTAATCATTTAATTCAATAGATGAAATACTCTAATATCATCAGTAATTTAAATATATAAAATCCTTTAAACACATCAATAATTTAAAAAGATGAAATCCTTTAAACTCGTCAATAATTTAAATAGATAAATTCCGTTAAATTCATTAATAATTTAAATAGATGCTATCCTTTAGACTCATCAATAATTTAAATAGATGAATTCCTATAAACTCTTCAATACTTTTGTTGTCTCATTGATGGGACAGGGCACATATCTATAAATCATCAAAGAAAATACTCTTATAGTAAACAACTTCAACTATTTCACCTGCCAGTAAGAACAAAATATCTACTACTGCAGAACTGGTCATTTGACAAAATTATTTTATAATTGTATGCACTGACTCCCCTCTGTATATTTGATTTTACTCACTTTAATTATTTGATTTTAACTCACTTTTTGTACATCTATTACGACGTGAAACGTATAATATGAGCAAGTAAGGCTATGGGAATATATCCCAAATCGATGACTCACAATTAATGTGGCTTTAAACCCTCTGAAGTGTAGCAAGTCCTCCGCTTTTGGTAAGATGCGCCTTAGCTGGTTGAGCCCTTCAAGGAGAATGGTGAGGGACCTTTTCATGACATACCAGCTTTAATAACGAGAGTCGGAGGAATGGCCGTGATTGAGAACATGTTCAGAAGAAAAACAAGGGACGCCAGCGTATGAGTAGCGATTGTGAGATGATCAGTGATAAGCATTCCGGCTGGCGAATAACAGTTTACTGGGGAAAAAAAGGGGGGGGGGAATGCATACAGACAGAAGACGCCCGAAACGGAGCTCTTGCAACAAATAGAGCACTACGGATTGTATTCCGTAAATTGAATGACAGGAAGAGCATTGAATTTATTAGAGCAACTGACCGAAGAAGTTTGGACAGAATGCGGGTTTTCTTCGGCTACACACTAGCAGAAAATAACACTCAAATAAGTGGTGTCTTGGCATAATACAAATTAACTTAATTATTTTATTTGGTGGCGTTCTGGAATATTGTGAGTTAACTTGCATTAATTATATTGGTGGCGTTAGTATGACACAGAAGACACTGGAGTCAGTGAAGCAATGGATGACCATGAACAAGCTCAAATTGAAAAAATGAAAAGACCGAGGTGATCCCCATTGCTACTGTTAAAAAACTAAAATCTGTAAATAACGTAAAATCCCTTACTCTCTCAGGTGTGCAGATTGAGTTTGCTCAAACAGTGCGAAACTTTGGTGGCTTCCTAGACAGAACACTAACTATATAAAATCACATTATCATGCTTTGAAAGGCGATTTTTCTATAGCTGCGCATATTTATTTATTTAGGCATTTTTTATATAGCGCTTACCTTAAAGCTCTAAGCGCTTTACAATTATTAAAAACATGTAAACTAACTAAAATAAAAATGAGACATTAGGATAGTAACTACTATACTATAGAAACAATTAAAATGGCTATAAAACGAGGACACTTTGGCACGTTTTGGCCTATACTACAGGATCAACCCGAAACAGAAAATCAGACCTTTCTTAACGCTTGATGCATTAAAGTAGCTGATGTCTGCATTCGTGCTATCACGCATGGACTACTGCAATGCTCTCATGGGGAGTCTTCCAGCTACGCTCCTGGAAAAATGCAAAAAGGCACAACATAATGTGGATCGCATTGTTGTACGTAAAAGCAAATTCGACCATGCCAAAACACTTCTGAGAGAGCTGCATTGGCTGCCGGTCCGTGCATGCATAGAGTACAAAATTGCAACTCTGTGTTACGCTGCTTGCAAGACCTGAAGCCGTCCCATCTCAAAGCACTCATTACGCCTTATGTACCTACTAGATAACTCCGCTCATCTGATAGTGGCAAACTCCCGATACTGCGCTTTCGCCTTGAGACTTACAGAAGGCGCACTTTCGCATTTGCTGGACCAACAAGTGGAACACCCTTCCTGTCGCTCTCAGAAACAGCCAAACACTGGAATCCATCAAAACCGATTTGAAAACACATCTATTTCGCAACGATCTGCTGGGGTTATGTTGTCTACCATCTTTTCCAGCTAGCTATCATGTCCTAGATGTATATTGGCTTGTGTTGTTTATAGTTGAAAGAGATGAAATACTTTGAATGTATATACTCGTTTGTAGTTTTTGTAGTGTTGCGTTTTGTGTTTTAATGTTGTAAAATATAGATTTTTTCATTTCTCTTTAAATATGGTTGACTTTGTACCGCGCTTCGAGCCTTTTGGAATGAAGCGTGATTTTAAAAAAAAAAAACACTTTTTTTATTATTCTATCATTAATGTTATATTATGAGTTTACTGACATTAATTAAGTTTGTTTCGGCATTGTTTCATATTTATTTCTCTTTGATTTTTAATGAATTTTTTTTTTGTTTCCCTGATAGTCCCCTCCTTGAGGTTAGAAGCTAATGTTATTATGCCATTAACCAAAACAATCTCGTGATTTTCTCTCGACAACGGTATGCCATGGAACTCAATATCCTGTCTTGTCACATTCTTTTATGTCACATTCTATCAGGTCACTGTTCTATCATGTGACATTATATCACGTGACATTCTGACATGTCACATTGATTCAGGTCACTGTTCTATTATGTCACATTCAAACGTCACATTCTTTTATGTCACATTCTGTCATGATACGCTCTATCAGGTCACATTCTCTCGGGCCACTGCTCTATCATGTCACATTCTTTCATTTCATATTCTGTCACGTCAGAGCCTATCGTGTCACATTGCGAGATGTTATATTGTTGCAAACACTTTGCTCAGGAGGGGGCCACTTGACTTTCCACGGGGGGGGGGAGTGCCCCCAGAGATGCCTGAAGGTAACAATGGTTCTAAGTCTAACCGAACTGCATTAGACGCCCTAAGTCTAACCGTGCTGTGCTATTTTTTGTTCGTTCTTCGCATTCAACCGTAACTAAGGCAATAGTACACGGTGAGTAGGCAAGAGGTTGGCCGGTCCTTTATGCGCCTGGAAAGCTTTCCCACACGTGGGTCATAGATTAATAAGACACGAACAAATTGTGTCACTATAACAATATTCGTTACGCTTTAATAATAATTATACATTATAACAATTAAACTTTCGGCACATGCCTTCATCAGTACAAACAAAGAAAACACATATAAGTAAGTAAAAATTAAATTTACATAGTATCATATACATATCCTACCTAAAAAAGAAAAAAAAATATGGGAAAGGGCGCTAAAACCAGACAAAAACAAAGTAAAGAGGGGTAGAAAGGAAGTGATTTTAACATAATTGGAAAAACGTGGGTCGCACGTTGTTTTAGGTCCTAGTAGGATCTGATTCGAGTCTTCTTTTCCTTGCAGTGCCGACCTCCAACCGAGCTGTACCTGTTAGTTAAGATCATCTAGACCGAAACAACGCGATTTCCCTACAGGTCCACAAGCTTTTTAATGAGGGACTAATTGCATTCATCGATTAACTTTCGTCAATCTGTTGCCACTAAGTGACTGACTGGGCACATTTTTTTTAATGAGTTGTTAAAGACACATCGAATTCTTGACTATTATAAACACCATCGAGGTGAAGTTATGTGGTGTTGTTCTTTTGTTTTGTTTTGGTATTTCGCTAACAGGATATGATCAATGAGTCTATGCTTACATGCAAAAATACAATTATTGCTACGATCTCAATAAAATAAATTGCTCTACTACATATATTAATCGTAGATTCAAAGAAAAAAAAAACACCAAAAAAATAAACAGAAAAGAAAAAAAAAAGAAAGCAACAACAAAAAAAACAACAACAACATCTTTGTAGCTTTGTGTCTGATTCAGATTCTACGCATTATGAGGTTTTTCTTGAGTACTTGTCTTTGACGCTACAAGCAGTTCAGATTATAGGCTCAAATTTTGGAGGCAAGTATAACTGATTTATTAATCTCTCTATTCTTTAACTTATCCTAAATTGTAAGTTCACAACAACCAAACGGACTTTAAGGGGGTTCGTAAGCCAAGGTTAAACTTGTTGCAGGTTGAACAAGAGACGTCTTCTTAGGGTTTATTGTCTATTTTAACAACTCACTTATAATGGTAAGGATTGATGCATGTTAACTGTTGTTATCAACACTTTATATATGTTTCTCTCCTCTTCCCACATGCTCCTTTCATTCTTCAGGACGACGAGGTAAGTCTTGCGACATCAGTCTACTTCTCTTCGATATATTTATGATGGAGTTTCTTGAATATTACTTCCGCAATTAAAATAGGAAAAAAATGGAATAGTAATAATAACAATAATAATTAGTGGTCTTTTATAGCGCGGTACCTCAGCTTTGGGCAGGGCTCACCGCGCTGTACATAAAAATATTTTCAAAAGAGACATAATCATGACATTAAAATAAAATACAATTTTGAAATAAAGAACAGCATGAACCCCAGGACTTTTACAAGGCAAGCGATGGACGGCAACCAGCAAGATCATTTATCGGTCAGAGGAGGGGAATCAGTCAGGGTAGTATAGTTTAAAGAGATGCGTTTTGAGTGCAGTTTTGAAGGCCTGGTTGGTTGGTATATTGCGGATGTGTAGTGGCAAAGAATTCCAAAAAAATAATGTTTCGTGTAAAGGTAAAAAAAAAATTACAAATTTGTCAGTTTTATAAAATTATTATAGCGTTACTGTCTAGTTCAATGTTACTATTCTTAGACCATGGCTGTCTAGTTCAATGTTACTATTCTTAGACCATGGCTGTCTAGTTCAATGTTACTATTCTTAGACCATTGCTGTCTATTTTAATGTTACCATTCTTAGACCATGGCTGTCTAGTTCAACGTTACTATTCTTGATCCATGGCTGTCTATTTCAATGTTACTATTCTTAGACCATGGCTGTCTAGTTCAATGTTACTATTCTTAGACCATGGCTGTCTAGTTCAATGTTACTATTCTTAGACCATGGCTGTCTAGTTCAATGTTACTATTCTTAGACCATGGCTGTCTTGTTCAGTGTTACTATTCTTAGACCATGGCTGTCTAGTTCAATGTTACTATTCTTAGACCATGGCTGTCTAGTTCAATGTTACTATTCTTAGACCATGGCTGTCTAGTTCAATGTTACTATTCTTAGACCATGGCTGTCTAGTTCAATGTTACTATTCTTAGACCATGGCTGTCTAGTTCAATGTTACTATTCTTAGACCATGGCTGTCTAGTTCAATGTTACTATTCTTAGACCATGGCTGTCTTGTTCAGTGTTACTATTCTTAGGGCGTTTATTTGCCTCACATGATTATTACATTTGGTTCTGTGCTGTACTTAAAGAGATGATCCCTTCATTTTAATTAAACCAATAATTTATACATCAGCTGCAACTTAGTACAATAGTGGCTCTAGATATCTGTACAGCAGATAGAACATCAATTGTGGTGTGCACAGCTGAAGTCTGAGCAAACTCTAGGAACATCTGAATTTACATAATTTTGATCAAGCTATAGGAATGTCTGGATTTACTGAACTCTGATTAAGCTATGTGAATGTTAGGATTGAATTATATTATTTAAAAAATAATAATTTTGTAATTGGTCGCATGCCTACTATTTAGGGCAACGTGCCTGCTATTGAGGGCAACGTACCTACTATTTAGGGCAACGTGCTTTCTATTGAGGGCAACGTACCTACTATTTAGTACAAAGTGCCTACTATTTAGGGCAACGTGCCTACTATTTAGGGCAACGTGCCTACTATTTAGGGCAACGTGCCTACTATTTAGGACAACGTGCCTACTATTCAGGGCAACGTGCCAATTGACGACCTCTGGAAGCAACCCCCCCCCCCCTTTTACTTGACATGTTAGGTCAACGAAAAATAAGACACCAGGTCAGGCCATCGTCAATATTTTTAATAAAATTTATCCACAGAAACCACATCGGCATGGACAATTCATCAACATGGTCCATTCATTGACATGGAGCAATTATTGACATAGAGCATTAATAATATGAACCATTCAACAACATGGAGCATTTATTGGCATGGACAATTCATTGACTAGGTCCATTCATAGACATATTCACAGACAAAAATTAATATAAATTTAGCATATATTCGTATAATCAAGGAGATTCAATTTCAAATCGTTCAACACTAATAAACTCGTCCCTGTGGCACTTTAGCCTATGTAGGACTTTGGCCTGCCTCACCACTTCCTTCCCCTCAGACCTAAATGATGCTCTTATTTTCCATGATTGGATTCCCGGCTACTGTAGATCTTTTTCCACTCATGCATCCAGCTAAGCCTTAAGGTCTGCCTTTGAGCCGTTCTCCTCTGGGGTTTGATGGTGTATCCTCTTCACTCCTCTGTTATGCGGCACCCTTTCTATGTGTCCCACCCAGCGTAGCCTGTCCTTTTTTATTTAGGTTGAATGGGTTATAGAAAATAGATCAATCCAAAAAATTTTTAATAAATAAATATTCAATAAAACAATAATATTATACACGACTAAAGACCGATAGATAATTAACAACAGTAGTTCATGAACATCACTTTAGTAGTTCATTTAATATTTAATGTAACGTTTAAACTTAATGTGACCTAGTTTAAACCTAAAGATCTAGCTTGTCAATAAGAACAAATTATATTAGAAAGATTTTATAAGCCACGTTTTGATATTTATACAAATGACATTCATCAAAATAATGTATTAATATATATTATATATTTATTAATTTTTTTTTTCAACAGATGAAACACCAGGTAAAGATCCAGTATATAATTAAATGGGAAACTACTCAGAATTATTTACATGTTTGAAATGAGATTCGTAAAACTACAATGAAATCAAACATATTCAGGCGACGAATTAATTTTCATTGTAAAAAAAAAACTTAAAATTTAGCCCTTCCCGATAGAGTATGATGATTTTTTAAAATTATACTTTCATTCATAAATATAACAAAGTCAAAAATTCAAAGGTCATGATGACATCTAGCCTGATGGAATTAGATGCCATTTTAATCCAAGTCGCTATAAATTACCAAAGTCGAAATAAAGGGTAATGTATACATCTTTTAAGAAATACTAGTTTATGACGTTTTAACACCTAATTTGTATTAACATAATTTATTTTAACACATGATTTGTTTTCACACACAACTTGTTTAAACACGTAATTTTTAAAACACATCATTTTTAACACAAAACTTTTATTTGAATCCATGATTTCTTTTTATAGATGTTTTTTTTTTAAGCTTATTCGTTTTATCACATGGTGTGTTTTAAAACAGGAGTCGTTTAAAAACACACAATTTTTTCTAGCACAAAATGTGTGCTATACATATTTTATCACATGATTTGTTAGAGCAATGTTATCTTCATGTCGTTGATGTGTGTCAATTTATTGTTTGGTTTCATTTTAAAATGACTGAAGGCTTTAAAAAGGAATTATATCATTATTATTTGTCCTATCTTAAAATTCTTTGTGGGACAGATAAGATGTCCATCTAATTTTAGGTCATAAATAACCTTAGACTACATCCATTCTTTTGAATCAAAAATTGTCTCAGTTATCTGTGGAAGGAGACACGCATTTTTTAAATTTGAACTCTCACCAATGTCAATAACTTTTAAGCATTTCAGATATTTTCAACCAATTATCTGTACGATTTGTAAGAAGAAACAACGCGATAAGGAAAAAGCAAGTTAAAAAAAAACAACAAAAAGAACTACAAATTACCAATTACATTTTATGGTCTCAAATTGTATGGTCTCACATACTAGATTGACCTCCTGCGTCTTTCTACAATTTATTTCAAAAGGACCAAACAAAAAAAAATTAATCAATTCACTTGAAATCTTTTATTGTCAATTTAAAGACTGTCGTGTAGTGGCTGACATCGTCCTGGTCATCGACTCTTCTGCTGGTGTCGGCATCAGCAAATTCAACGACATTTTGATATTCTCTGCTGAGTTGATAGGCAAGTTCAAGGCTAGACAATCTGACGCCAGGTTTGGTGCTGTTGTATTCAGTAGAACGACCGAGAAACTATTTGACGTACAGGAAAACATGACGGACATCTCGTTAGGACAGGTGAGAAAACGCATGTGGTTCGTAGGTAAGACTTTTTATATAATTACAAACCTGTTATTGGGCCAGGTTTTAATACATAATGACGTTTGAAAAAACAACAGCAACAACGAATTAATGTACATCTTAACATGTGTGTTATTTAGCAGCCACATTGTCTGAACGTGTTTCAGGGTTATCGAAATTACGAAAAGTATCACGTGATTTAAGGGACACAACTGATTAAATAGTTTTGACAGCCGTAACCCATCAAACATGCGGTTAGCCTGGTATTTGAGAAGGAAAAAAAATCATATTTCGAATAGCTTGACTGTGCAGTGCACATTGCAGCAGCAATTGAGTGTCCTAAAAATCATGGAAAAAAACTTAAAAAAAAAAAGAATTGCACTTGAGGGTCCTAAACACCATGGACCGAAACTGGAAACAAAAGTACTACACTAGAGTATCCTAAATATCAAGGACCGAAGCTGGAAAAAAGTATTGCACTAGAGTATCCTAAATATCAAGGACCGAAGCTGGAAAAAAGTATTGCACTAGAGTATCCTAAATATCAAGGACCGAAACTGGAAAAAAGTATTGCACTAGAGTCACCTAAATCTCATGGCCCGAAACTGGAAAAAAGTATTGCACTAGAGTATCCTAAATATCAAGGACCGAAACTGGAAAAAAGTCTTGCACTAGAGTATCCTAAATATCAAGGACCGAAACTGGAAAAAAGTATTGCACTAGAGTATCCTAAATATCAAGGACCGAAACTGGAAAAAAGTATTGCACTAGAGTATCCTAAATATCAAGGACCGAAACTGGAAAAAAGTATTGCACTAGAGTATCCTAAATATCATGGACCGAAACTGGAAAAAAAGTATTTCACTAGAGTATCCTAAATATCAAGGACCGAAGCTGGAAAAAAGTATTTCACTAGAGTATCCTAAATATCAAGGACCGAAACGGGAAAAAAGTATTGCACTAGAGTATCCTAAATATCATGGACCGAAACTGGAAGAAAGTATTGTACTAGAGTATCCTAAATATCAAGGACCGAAGCTGGAAAAAAGTATTGCACTAGAGTATCCTAAATATCATTGACAAACATTCGTTACCAAATTTGTAACCCACGTGAATCTTTGAGTTCATCGCAGGGAAACAAATACTTGGCAATCTCTAAGCCTATTGTCATTAACAAATACTTGGCAATCTCTAAGCCTATTGTCATTAACAAATACTTGGCAAGCTATAAGCTTATTGTCATTAACAAATACTTGGCAATTTCTAAGCCTATTGCCATTAACAAATACTTGGCAAGCTATAAGCTTATTGTCAGTAACAAATACTTGGCAAGCTCTAAGCCTATTGTCATTAACAAATACTTGGCAAGCTCTAAGCCTATTGTCATTAACAAATACTTGGCAAGCTCTAAGCCTATTGTCATTAACAAATACTTGGCAATCTCTAAGCCTATTGTCATTAAGAAAGATATCCTTCTAGTAACATTTCAGTAGTTTCACACATAAATCTCCTGATATTATAAGTTACTACAACTCATGTTCCCAACCACAAGTGGGATGCGATGGAGTTTTTTGGGGCTCACCGTCTGAAGTAATATTCTAAAACAATATATTAAAAAAGAAATGGTCATTTTCGTCCTATAGTTTGATTAGCAATTTTAATCATAGCATCACACGTGACGTTAATTTAAGTGCTGAACAATCTATTTTAAACACCTTTTCTATTCTTATTAAAAAGCCTTTTGTTTTCAATATACCGCGTTAAGAAAGAGTCAATTTTTTCAAGTATGAATGCGTTCATGACTTGAAGAACATGTGCTCTCGAACTTCTGAGCTTAACAAGTCAGCGCAGGTTACTACATATTATATTATAAGTCCGTTATTACAGTGGCAATCTGTGACTTTTAAGTATCTAAAAAAAAAAAAAGATTTATTTTTTTCTTAAAGTGTGTACTTGGGATTTAGTGGAATGGGAACATCTCCCGTGAATTGCTTCTTTACTAAAATTCCCGGGATGCTGGTAGAGAAATCCTCATCTCTAAATGGTAAACGTTTGGTTTCTACTTATCGATTTAGAAATATGAGGCGGTATAAAGAATGTTTTCATATTTGTATACCCCATCGCAGGTCTTGTTAAACGCCCCATTTCTAAATGAAGGAAGACGGACAGCTGATGCCCTGCACTACGTCCTATCTACCGGGATGTTTAATTCAACGATAGAATCTGGGAGGGCAGCTAAACAGTTTGCCATCGTCTTTGCAGGAGGCCCGGCAGATCAGACAGAACTCAGTAGTAAGTCTATTTTGGGTATAACTGAGGACCTAGAATAGAACAACTCTTTCAGTTCGACTCTTGGGGACCTAAAAAGTTCATACAAAAACAAGTCAGAGATAATGTCAGTGTTAAGATGTAAATGACTGTCACCATTTTTTAAATGATGTGGGCTGTCATAACCTTGCACTCACCTTACACACCACGTCCAGTTGGTACACAAAACGCCCACTTGTTACACACCACGACCACTTGTTACACACGACGTTCACTTGATACACATCACGCCCACTTGTTACACACCACGCCCACTTGTTACACACCACGCCCACGTCTTACACACCAAGCTCTTTTGTTACACAACGCCCACTTGTGACACATCTAGCCCAATTGTTACAAACCATGCCCACTTGTAACAAACCACGCCCATTTGTTACAACCACGCCCACTTTTTACACATCACTACAACTTGTAACGCACCACGACCCTTGTTATACACACGCCAACTTGTTACACATCATGCCAACATGTTACACACCACACCCACTTGTTACACACCACGCACACTTGTTGCACACCACGCCCACTTGTTACACACCACGCCCACTTGTTATACACACGTCAACTTGTAACCCACCATGAACGCTTGTTACAAATCAGGAACACTAATAATAAAAACAACACCAAATTATGATTTTGTTGTCAGCTGCCTACAACCAAAAAATATAACATGCTTTTTAATACACGAAAGGCGTCTCCAATGAGTTAGCAATTAGTTTCATGGCGCTTCAAAGATAAGAAAGAGTACACACCACAACGCTACAGATCTACTACAGGCTACGTTCAAATTTGACAAAGTTGGCGACTTTCTTGTTTATTCGAGCCCTAGCTGCAGCCAAAGAACTCAAAGATCGAAACGTCACGATCATTGCCGTGAGTGCCGCTGACAGGATTGACCCCGAGCTGCCTAAACTGGCCAGCTGTCCCACGGATGTGTTCAGCGTCCACGGAGAGGATTCCTTAACCCACCTAGAGCGACACTTGATACAACGCACGTGTGAAGGTCAGTGACCCTTAACATAATTAATGTGTCAGCTTTACGTAATGCATTCTTTTAAAGATTATAAGTTTATATCTTTAAAAATATGTAATTTTAATTAATTTAAAAACAATTTTTTTTTGAATTTAATTTTTAACATTTTTTACAAAATTGATGAGTGGATCAATAATTGTGCTTTTTGTGTTGCTATTTCAGGAAAATCTTCCTAAATTAAACATTTTCAAGACGATTATACACAACATAATACATTTAGATTCAATCAACGTTAAAAGCTTAAACCCCATTTGAAAAATTGTTCGTGTTGTTTCATATTTGAATTGCTTTGAGACCTGAATCAATGGTTGAAGTTTTAAAAAAAAAAATGAAAAGAAAAAAGAAACAACTAAAAAACAACAAAAAAACAACAGACATTTATTTCAGAAAATGAAATTAAAATAAATATTCAAAAATGTTTTCTGTTTCTTGCTTGTTCAATGTTAAATTGTGTTCAGGAGCTTGTTAGAGCGCTCTTTTCCATTTGAGTATATTGATGTAGTCGATTCCATCATCCACCAATGACATCATATTTGATCAAAGTTGTAACACAATTTAATGAAAGCTCTACCTTAAGCTGTACATTAGTGTCATCATATAGATCAGACTTTTTTTTTAAAGAAAAGATTTATAGCTAAGTCCCGTACTGAGCCAGCTACTTGAGGATTATTGATGCGTTGCTTCTTAATCGGCAAGCTACATGAGAATTTTTGATGTGTTGCCTCTTACCCAGCCAGCTACTTGAGGAAAATTGATGTGTTGCCTCTTACTCAGCCAGCTTCTTGAGGAAAATTGATGTGTTGCCTCTTACTCAGCCAGCTACTTGAGGAAAATTGATGTGTTTCCTCTCACTCAACCAGCTTCTTGAGGATAATTGATGTGTTGCCCATTACTCGGCCAGCTACGTGATAATTTTATATGTTGTCTCTTACTCAGCCAGCTACTTGAGGATTATTGATGTGTTGCCTCTTACTTGGCCAACTCCTTGAGGATAATTGATGTGTTGCCCCTTTCTCAGCCAGCTACTTGAGGATTATTGATGTGTTGTTTCATCTGTAAATGTTTAAATTTTACGGTAGATCTCATATCGGAAAATAAATCCAGACATTATCAATGGCAAATATATATTTCAGTAGATGAAATATGGTTTGAATAGTAAATTTCAATTTTTTCCCCTTGGGAATTGCGATGGATGGTAAGGACATGCTTTTAACATTGAAGAAACCAAGTTAAGCTGTAACAATGGTATTAATATTTTATATACGTGATATATTGAATAGTAGCAACAGCTTACATATGGGATACATTGAATAGTATCAATAGCTAACATGCTCGATATTTTCCATTTTATCAATAACCTACATATGTGATACTCTCTTACTATTTCTCCTCATTCTTTCCCCATTTCTACCTTCTTCTTTTTTGTGTGTGTATTTCTCATTCTTGCCTAACATTGCACAATTTCCCATCAACAAAACCTAAAGTCTTGGTAGCTTTATCGCAGTCTAACACTCTTATCATTTGTAGCTTTATCGCTGTACAACACTCTTATCATTCGTAGCGTTATGGCATTTCAATACTCTTATCATTGGTAGCAACTTATGTTTGGTCATTAAATATCTTATCTTCCGTTTCCAGATATTATAACCGCTCCCAAAACCATTATCATTTGAATACAAAATTATTATTTTCTCTCTTTTTATTTTTTTAATCGTTCTTGCTTCGTCGGTTACATAAGAATCTTGCCAAAACATCCATTTCATTGTCCTGTCTATTCACTTCAAGCCTCAATATCTTGTTCCAATATTTCCTTCACACGGTTTGAGAGCAGTCCCTCACATATCAATATTTAGTTCCCGAATAGCCCACATGTTGATTCGGATTCCGAGTAGATTCCGTTTTTATTATATTTATTTTCTATAGTAAAAGTAGTCATGGCCTCCCTTAAACTTCATTAATTTATTTGAAACAATCTCCTGTTATCAACGCATTCAATTATTCTTGTTCACTGAAAATTTCAGATTTAAAAAAAAAATGGGTTTTGTTTAGAAAGAAAGGACACAAAACATGTTTAAAACTAACAGAAACAATACCCCTTAATTTACTTCTTTAATCCGTTGACAGAAAACAATTATTAACAGAAAAATATCAACTTGAATTGTTTGAGCTTGTGATTCCATAATGTTGATTATCTTGATAGCTTTTGGTAGACTGAACAGAGTTTTCTTTACAAAGTTTCCCCATTTGAAGACTTGAGAAGTTGCGCGTCTAACACGATGGATCTGTTAAAAAGAAATTAAAATATCTTTCAGTTTTGAGAGAGCTTAGTCAAACTTATGTACCCCTTTACAAAAATTATTCACTTTTTTTTAAAATTATGAGTACTAAATAGTAAAATACATCGGCTGCTTGCAACATTTGTAGCCTCGGGAAAAGTATTTTTTACAATATAAGTTATGTCTATAGACAAATATTTTAATTGAATCATGCTTCATCTTTAAATAGCTGGACAAAACTGGTGGACAAAAAAAAAAAAAAAAAAAAAATTTGGATTACTCACTTGGACATATCCTGCTTGAAACCTGCTTCACAATAGCTCCCAGGGAATCAAAAGAAGTTAACTCAAAAGCATCTCTGTTAGTACTAGCCATGGCCTTAATTTCTGATGTCACGGCGTGGACAATGCCAATAGCAATAATGGTCACACCCTTTTCTCTCAGGCGTTTGGCCGCAGCTTTTGCTGGAATAAATTTCAGGATATTACTCCAGGTGGAATTGTTTGAAAATTATTTTGCGGATAAAAGAGATGATTTAATAGGAAAATGTTGAGGATAAATAAAAGAGATGATTAAATAGAATAATTATGAGGATCAATACTTCTCATTGGGAAATGGCGTCTGTGGGCCGTCCAGCGCGAGCTCATAATCCCCCCCGCGGCAACCCATAACCACCCCCCCCACGGGTCAGACGCCGGGCTTCCCCGACGCCAAACCACGTAGCACGCCGGGAACCTCCCCACTGGCCTCGGGGCCGTCCGGTCGACCGAAAACGCTGCGTTTAAAGTGTTCGTAGCCGACTCTCCCGTGGCTTGGGCGGGTTTGCTTCGACTTCGGAAGAAATTTTTTGCGTTATCACCCCCCACCGCCCAGGGAGTCTTTCTGTCGGGACGGAAAACTTGGACGAAACGGTCGCCTAGGAGCGGCTTTCTCACGACCGCACAGTTAAAATCATCCCATGGGTTTTAACCGCCACCCAAGCTTCATACCATTAGCAGCAAAAGTAATCATGTAACGACATTACTACTGCCGTAGCTTAGGGAGTCATGCGGTCGGCCGGGGTTTTTCGCTTCGGGAGAACAGTACCTCCCTAATAGTCCCCCACGCTAAGAAGATGACGAAAAATGCAACCCCCGTGTGGACTCCCCCAAGTTTCCTTGGAGGCGCTTCGCTTTCGCTTTTACAGTCAGAGTTAAACGAAGAAACACTTTAAACCTTGTTTAAACCTTGTTTACCACAAACATTCGTCATGACACTCGTCATGGAAAATCACCAACGTTTGAAGAATAACATGTTTGTGGCGAATTTATGATTTATTTGAAATCTCTTGCATACACCACCGTACTTACTGAGCTCTGGCTTATCTGACCGACCATCTGTAATGACGATTGCTATTTTGCTGGCGTCAGGCCGTGCACCGGAGGATGTGTCCAGCATTCCACCACTAGCAACTAGGTCCAGAGCCTTGTCCGTGTTTGTAGATTGCAACAGGTAAGGGGTCGACAGTAATGCCTTCAAAATAGGAATTCTAGTACAATCAAGAGGACCCACAAAATGTTTGGCAATATTTAATATAAAGAGGATAGAGTGGACGTGAAGCCTTTATCTCCAGACAACGATTCTAACAAGGTACAAAACGAAAACAAAATGGTTACGATTCATTAAAAATTAATGTTGGTTGATGTGTCCTAGATGGCTAACACTTCTAAAACAGGTGTATATTTTGTTAGAACTCTCGAGATTAAATCAACCTAAATCATCATATTGTTGAACATTCAAATAGACCTTTCATAACTTCTTCAAATGAAACCTGGCTCCCCCCCCCCCCCCCCCCCTTTTTTTTAAAGGTTTCTGAAATATTGATCTGTTGCTTTTCATCGCGATTATGTAACCTTTAATGTTAATAAAGACTTCTCTGAAATGGCCTATTTTAGCTGTATGCTAACCTGTAATTTCCTCTTTTAGCTGTAGTCTAACCTAAAATTACCTGCTTTAGCTGTACAATAGGACCCTAACATAACAACTTCCAGGGCTAATTAAACATTTAATGAAGTCCTTCAGATGCACACAATTTAAAATCAAATCTTTCAAGCTATGAAACTCCCTGATTTACCCTTTCAACTGTAAATTACCCTTTTATTACCTCTCTAAGCTGAACATGATTTGAATAATCCTTGAAGTCAAACATTTTTTTAGCGTCGTGCCCAAAAATCACATGTCCGACGAGCACATCATTTTGACCAATTTTGAAATTAGATGTGAAATTGACAGCGAAGTTTAAGACTTTCTTATAGTTCTTCAGTCCGATACTTCCCGAGGAATCAGTGATGAAGACAATGTCTGCCTTGACCTTACATACTGTGTGGAAATTTTGCTTGTTATTTTATTTATCATACAAGAAACGCCAGATAAACTATTTATCATCTTTGCTCTTAGTAAAATAGAATTAAAATCAATAGATTATGGAACTTATTTTAGTAAACAAAATAGTTGTAAATTAATTAAATTGTTTATTCAACCAAAACTCACCTGGCTTTCCTATGATAAAGATGGAAACGTAAAGACAACATTATTACATCAATTAAAACAGTAAACAAACCTACTATTATGAGGAAAAAAATGAAGTACGAAATGTTTAATCGTAACAAATTGTTGTAGGCTGATTTGGAGCATACAATGTTTTTGTGGTATAGAAGTTTTAATTTCTGTTTTTTTTTTAAAGATAATACAAAAAGGAAGAAGCAAACCCATGGTAAAATCAGGAGCTAACCAACACGACGTGTTTGTCACTTTTTCGTCAATATCTATTTCTAGTTGTGTATATCTGTAGCTAGCGCACTTAGAAATACATGACATTTTGTGGGGTAGATTAGGCCAATGAGAAAAGCTCGGAATGAATGGACATTTTGGTGAGGAAAGGCATTAACGATTTAAATATAAATATATATATATATATATAGAGTGAGAGAGAGAGAGAGAGAAATAAAGAGAGGAGAAAGTTGGAGAAAGAGGGAGAGAGAATGAGATAGGCAAAGAGAGAGATTGATAAAAAGAGAGAAAGAGGGAAACAAGAGAGAGAAAGAAGGAGAGAGGGAAAGAGAAAGAATGAAAATAAAGAGAGAGATAGACAAAGAAGGAGACTAAGAAAGAGAGAGAGAAAAGAGAGATAGAGAAAGATATATAGAGAGATAAAGGGAGAAAAGGAAGAGAGAAATAAGAGAGAGAGAGAGAGAGTGACAGAGAAAGAGAGAGAAAGAGTGAGAAAGAAAAAAAAAGAACGTGAAAGAGAGAAAGTGAGAAATGGGAAGAGAGAGAGAGTGAGAGAGATAAAGAGAGAAAAAAGAGAGAAAGAGAGACATAATAGAGAGAGAGTGTGAGAGAGAAAGAGATCGATAGAGAGAGTAAAAGACAGAGAAAAGGACACAGAGAGAGAAAGAGGGAGAGAAAGAGATGAAGAAAGAGAGAGAGAGAGATAGAGAGAAAAAGGAACGGAGAATTCGATAGAGAAAAAATGAAAGAAGGCGAGCGAGGGGAGACAGGAGCTGATGTGAAATAAACATACGACAACTAGCGTGAGTTCAATCACATGAAATTCAGTCTTGCGATAGACATTTTTATGACTACAGTAGCCCAGCAAACATACTTAGAGTTCAATATCTGTGCTATCTCATGTAGGTGTGTAAAAAAAAAAGTGCCAGGATTAAATCATACAAATCTCAGTCATTCCAAACTATGTCAAATTAAATTAAAATATTTATAACATTTATTGATGCTATTGAATTTTTTTTTTTTTAAGTTGTAAACATACTTTAATGAAAAATATATATAAAATAATAAATGCGAAAATAATTTGAGTTAAGCTTATTCATATATGTGGCTAATAAATTAGTTTTACAAACATATAATGACAATGTGACAGACGCTAACTCACCAGTTGAAATCTGTGAACCGCTTACAGCTGAAATATATAGTGAAAAACAACACATCAACTCATTGTTTACGTATTCACCAATGGAATAGAGTTTGTGTCATGTACTTGTGTTGCAGCATATGTTTAGTTGTGAAATACCTGAATAAAGCAGGTTAAAAGACGTAACACATATATATGTGACAATTTGAGACAAAAATTTCCTCTAAATTAAAAATGAAAATCACATTTAATAAAGTACACAATACTTGAAACCAGACATTGAACTGTCCCTTTACTTTCTAATGTGATAGAAAAAATATAAGACATAAAAGAAGACATTAAATATCCACTTAACTTGACATACTGTTTTGAGAAGATATAAAAATGTCCACTTACATAATTTATTGCGAAGACATTGACATGTCAACTTACTGTGACATAATTTATTGAGAAGACATTGAAATATCCACTTACTTTGACAAAATTTATTGAGAAGTTGGCCAAGAAAGTCTTTTAATTTATTATAGTCCTTGACCACGAATACGTCACCAGGTTTGCTGATTTCATTCAGCTCGGACTGATCGATTATGTCTCCTAATCCGATCGATATCATTGTAATGTTGCTGACTCTCAGACCTTGTGATTCTAGCAGAGCTGAGATGCACAAATGGAAGACTAAGTATACCCAGTCATACACTAATTAAACACAATCATACACTATGTATACAGACTCATATATTCATTTTGACGATAGTCCCATGGTCTCAGTAATAGGGTGATTAACGATTTTGTTTCAAATGGACTAAAATCACAATTACCTTACCCACATCTGCCATCGCACTAATGTACCATTTAATAATATAAATAATGTATAGTTGTTAAAACTAAATTGAGCACAGAAAATATTGATAATGTATAGTTGTTAAAACTAAATTGAGCACAGAAAATATTGATAATGCTATGTTCCTAGCAGAAATCAACCTTATTTGAAAATAACTACTTTGCTAATTAAATTATATTTAAAATTAATTTATTTTTTGGAGAGAAATATAAAATCAAACCATGGATATTCTTAAACTTACTCTGATTTCTAGACGTAGAATATCCATCTGTCATGAGTATGATGACATGAGGCGTGTTTACCCGTCCATGGAGTAAGAACATTTGCCTTGCCATGTTCAAACCTTTGTTTGTGTATGTGAATCCACCAGGGTAGGGAGCGTCATCTATAGCCTGATACAAATTGGAAGAGGAGTCGGAGTGTGTTGGGAAGTTTAAACGATAGACGTTAAACAAGCAGTGTGTTTGGGCAGTTGTAACGAGCAGTGTTTTTGGGGCAGTTGTAAGAAGCAGTGTGTTTGGGGCAGATGTAACTAGCAGTGTGTTTGGGCAGTTATAACAAGCAGTGTGTTTGGGATAGTTGTAACAAGAAGTGTGCTTGGTATAGTTGTAACAAGAACTGTGTTTGGGATCGTTGTAACAAGAAGTGTGTTTGGGATAGTTGTAACAAGAAGTGTGTTTGAGATAGTTGTAATGAGCAGTGTGTTTAGGGGAATTGTAACAAGCAGTGTGTTTGGGGCATTTGTAACAAGCAGTGAGTTTGGGGCAGTTGTAACAAGCAGTGAGTTTGGGGCAGTTGTAACATGCAGTGTGTCTGGGACAGTTGTAACAAGCAGTGAGTTTGGGGCAGTTGTAACAAGCAGTGAGTTTGGGGCAGTTGTAACAATCAGTGAGTTTGGGGCAGTTGTAACAAGCAGTGTGTCTGGAGCATTTACAAAAATCATTGTGTTTGGGGCAACAGAATAATAAGTGTGTGTAGGGCAACAAGCAGTGTGTGTGGGCACTAACGTACTGTTTACTTTGGTAATGAATGAGAAATAAGGAGACTTTCATTAACATATGTCAATTTTTAATTATGCAAAGGACACGTAAAATCTGTCAAATTAAGGGTATAACAAGAGGAGATTCCACCCAATTTGTTATGATTAACCAACATAAGTGTCTCGTGGTCAAGGGAAAAAAATTAAAGACATTGACTACCTACCCAATACTTTCTAGGGAAAAATAACAAACTTATATATAAGATATCGTATAAGCACCTGACAGAAATGATTTGTAGAAGTGATCTCGTATTTGCCCGTCAAAATTAATTAAACTAAACTCTCTACTACCAGCAAAGAGTGGTTGCTATTAAAGAAAGTTTAAAAAAAAATATCCTATTTGTTATTAAGTATCTCCATTTTTTAAAAAATACCTATCAGGTGACTTTTTGGGTTTGAAAGTAAGTGGATCCCCCAAACAAGTAATTAATGCATCACTTTAAAACAAAACGTAAATTATTTGATTGTTAATTGTACACTCGAGAAAGACATTGGGTATTTCTTATTTACCTTATTAAGTTCCTGAATATCGTTGTACGTGTTAAGTTCCGATATTTTCTGGACACTGTCACTGAATATAACCAATCCGAATCTGAGGTCCGACGAACTTCCAGATGTAGAACTGTTAATAAAATTTTTGACGAACGAGAGGACCAATCTGTACTGGACATCACCGATACTTCCAGAAGCGTCAAGGACAAAGACTATGTCAGCACTTGCTGTACATTGTGTTATTAGAGGCGACGCTAAACCGGTAAACAGTGGAACGATCAGTGCAAAAAAAGATCACAATATGTTAATGTAGTTGAACTTGCAGTTTCTTATTGTACATCATTTGAAATGGGATAACGGAAAATGGATAACATTCTTTTATCCTTAAAACTAAATGGGAATCTTTAAAAAAGGATAATAATCATCAACACATATATTCAATTTGAGCACACAGATTAATAATAAATATTTAAATACCAGACTTCGAAACTATTTCTCTGGCGTTAAAATCAGACGTGTTATACGAGAAACCTTCTCACTCTTAGTGACCATTATGACTTATTTTGTGATCATTTAGATTTAGTAACCGTTGCTGGAGTACGCTAGTAAATCCTAAAAGACAGCGTAAAAAAAAAAAAAGATTCTATGTTTTGGTCCTAAGTTTAAGCGAAGCATTCCAGTGATCGAGCTGCTAGTAGGTATCTGTAATAAAGATGGTTCGGGGTGTATCAGCACAGTTTTCTGTAGTTTTTTTACAACAGCATTTTATCTTTAAATAGTTCAAGCGTTCATGATTAGGCGGTTCACTTGGTTTTTTGACGAGGGATGACCAGTGTCCACACATTCTTCAGTTTTACCCTCCAACAGTTTTACCCTCCAACAGTTTTACCCTCCAACAGTTTTACCCTCCAACAGTTTTACCCTCCAACAGTTTTACTTAAACGTCTAAATTGTATTCAACCGTAAAAGTTAAATTCCAAAATACATGTAAAAGTTTAATCAGCGTTTGTTGTCTTCATGCGCGTTATAAACATGTTGCCACTCATCAGATGCAGGTTTAAGTCGAGAAAAGACAGTTCCTAACACTTAGCAGCAAACATTAATGAGGGGTTCATCTAATGAAGGGGTTTACTTAAAAAAAGAAAAGGTACACACAAAAACTCCTACTGTTTTTTTTTGTGTGGATTTTCCAAACTACTACGAATCTGTTTTGTTATTTTAAAATTTTAAAAATCAAAAGCTTTAACAATTTAATAATCACTGAATGCTTGAATCATTAAAATTGCTTGAATTTATATAACTTGTCACACATTGTACAAAGATAGAAGTGTAATATAATCTCACAATAATCGGAGCTAATTTTTTGGAATTGTTCAAATATGTAACAATTACACACGTTACTATGACATCGGACACATTTTCATAAACACAATTACACCGGTCACAACTAAAAAAGGTCACAATTACATACATTAGAATTAAAAAATGTCCCAATTACATATGTCACAAGTAACAATCATCCAAATAACCACGGATAATTTGTTATTTTATCAAAAAATATCACTTGAGAAACATGAAATTTAATGTCGCACCTTTTGAAGGTATTCCTAAAAAAATTCTTTGATGTAATGTAAGTATCCCATTTGAAAATAATTTTGCTTATTTACATTCTAGGACACATGCTATAATGAATACAATTCCGGTGTCACATAATTACTAGTATTAAGGCACTGAACCAGATCTAAAACATTAGGTCTGGATTGTGTAAAGATTTAAACTTTTAATAGTATTTATAAAACCAACTGATTGAGAAGGAGTAAAAGAGATAGAGGAAAAAATTGGGTCAGCTAGAAAGAGAGAGGTATAAATGGGAGAGAGAAAAAGAAAAAGGGAGAAAGAAGAGAGAGGAGAAAGAAAGAGAAAAAAAAAGAGATAGAAAGAGAGAGAGAAAATTGAGAGAGGATGAGAGCAGAGAGCGAGAATAGAGAAGATAGAGAGGAAAGAGAGAGAAAAGAGATACGTGATAGAAAAATAAAGATACAGGGATAGAGAACGAAAGTTACTGAGAGAGAAAAAAAGAGAAAGAAAATGACAGAAAGGAAGAAACAGAGAAATAAAAAGAGAGAAAGAGAGCAAAAGGGAGAAAAAAAGAGAACGATTTTGAGAAAGAACGACAGAAAAGTAAGAGAGGAAGAGATAATGAAAGAATGAGAAATAGAGAGAACGAAAAATAGTCAGGGAGAGAGAATGAGAGAGAAAAGAGAGAGATAGAGTGAGAGAGAAAGATAGAGCAAAATTGAAAAAAAAAATAGTGGAAGAGAAAGGACCACATAAAAACAAAGATGAGAAAGAGAGATAGAAAGAGAGAGACAGAGAGAGAAAGAGAGAGGGAGAGAAAGAGAGAGAGAGAGAGAGAGAGAATGGAAAGAGAGTAAGTTAGAGAAAGTATCGAATATAAAATGAAAATTATTAACTCTACATAGATACAAGTATCATTTACAACTATGTGATATTAAATTTGTACTTTTGGAAAAAAATAGTGAAATTCTAAAAATTCATAATCACTTAAGTCGCAATTACATAGGTAAGAATTAAATTAGTCACACTTACTTAAGACAAAGGTCTGAATTACAAAAGTCACAAAAACATATGTCACAGTTACACAAGTTACTATTATCCCAGTATCAATTGACCATTTTTTATGTTAACAAAATGCATCTGAGAAAAAAATTTTAAATGTCATTCCTTGTGCAGGTATTTCCAAAATTATTCATTTGTTATAATATAAATATTAATATATTATATCATTTGTAAATATCATTTCATATTTATATTGCAAAAGACATGCTATAATGAATACAAAGCCGATGTCACATGATTAATTGTATTATCGTACTTAACCAGATCTAAATCATTAGGTCCGGATTTTTTAAAAAAAGATTTAAACTTTTAATAGTAGCTATAAAATCAACTGATTGCTCCTCACCTGTACTACTTGGGGTCATGGTACTGACGACAGCTGAAATAAATTTTACAATGTGAATGAGTGGAAGGTCGTTAAATATGTTGTTTTATTTTGGGGTAGGAGGATGCACAGGTGGCTAGGTGAATTATAATAAATTTTGGGAACGAGGGGAAAAAAACAAAAAAAATCCTTCATGTTTTATAACACAGAGCGTGGCTTAATCTTAATGAAACGATAAAGTTGTTTTGAATAAAAAAAAAATTGGGCTAGATGTAGATTTTGAAGATGCATGACATTTTCAACATGACTAACTCACATTTGTGCAGGTATTTAAAAAAAAAAATATTCTTTGTTATAATATAAATATCTCATTTGTTAATAATACTTCATATTTATATTGTAGAAGACATGGTTTTATGAATACAATGCAGGTGTCATATAATTACTTGTATTAATGTACTGAACACGATCTTAAACAGTATGTTTATATATATATTTTTTTTAGATTTAAAATATTAATGATAAAGATAAAAACAACTGATTGCATAACTATGCTACTCGAGTCAATGGTACTGAAAACAGCTCAACAATGAGTTTTAAATGGGAACGGGGGGAAAGTCGTAAAATATGTAGTTTTATTTTGAGGAATGTTTATTTGTGGAAGGATGGGTGAATCGGTGGAGTTATTTTGAAAAAATCATGAAAAAATAAAATTAAAACAGCGGGAAAGAAGTAGCTTGTCAAGATGCATGGCATTTTTATCCCGAATATCTCACAAATGTTAAATTTAGATGACAGTAAAAATAATTTCTGAGAAAGAAATGGAAAGAAAAGCGAGAGAAAGAAAAAGAAAGATACAGAAAATAAGAGTTAGAGAACAGAGAGAGAGAAAATTGAGGTACAAAAATAGATGTTGAAAGAAAGAAAAAAGCGGAGTGAGATAGAAAGTGAGATGGATAAGAAAAGAGAAAAAAAGAAGAGAAAGAAAGAAAAAACGAAAGAAGGAGAGAAAACGAGAGAAACGAAAGAGAAAGAGAGAGAGAGAGAGAGAGGGGATGAGAGAAGAGAGAAAAGATATGAGATAGAGAAAACGGTAAGAGGAAAAAAGATTGAATGAGAAAGAAAAAGAAACTTAGGGGTATGGAGACAGAAATAAAAAGAAGAGAGAAATAGAGACGAGAGAAAGAAAAAAGAGAGAGAAAGAGAGAAAAGGATAAAGTAAAAAGAGAGAGAAAGAAAGCGAAAAAGAGGGAGAGAGAGAGAAAATGAGAATGAGAGATGGTTGGGCGGATGGATGAATGTTGAGTCTACTTTTAAAACAATAAGTATGTTAAATTGTATTATTAAGTTTAAATCTGATATTAAAAGACATGCTGTAGGCATGTGATTATGTTAGAGCATTTTACAGATTATTTCAAATTTGATGAAATTGACGTACGTGTCTCGGGAATTGGGATGTCTAAAGAAGGAAAAGAAAAAAAAAAATATGTGAAATGTTATAAAAAATAAAAAAAATATATTTTTGATCTGTCTCAAAGGTTACCTTAGCTGGACTATAAAAATTATAAATAAAGTTATTGGACCCAAAATAAAATATCTTTTTTTTTTGGAATGACACATAGGGTGCCTTAATTTTAATGAAACCTTAAGAGTGCTTTGAACAAAACAGTGGGCCCGTTGTTGTTTGTCCAGATGCATTCCATTTTCGACTAGACTATCATGCATTGACACCATTCACAGGACTGTCAAATCCCTCTCTGAGAGGAGTAGGAGAAAGTAAGAGTCTGGACTATTTTCAAAAATATTTAATCTTTTAATGATAGAGATTAAATCAACTGATCGCCTACCTGTGCCGTTCGGGGCCATGGTACTGACGACAGCTGAAATGAGTTTTAAATGGGAGTTAGTGAAATGTCGTTAATTATGTGGTTTCAATTGTCTATGTGGGTTGGTGGTTAGATGTGTGGGTCAGTGGTTGGATTGTTTCGGGTAACTTTAGGATTATAGCGATGTCAGATGGTAGCATTAAGTTCAACTCTGATATTAACTAACATAGATTAGGGCATGCGACTTTGTTTGAAACTTTTCACAAAATATTTCAAAGTTTATTAACTTACTTGTCGCGGTAGTCACGGTAACTAAAGGAGGAGGAAAAGCAAAATAATTATTAAAAATAAAATTAGTAATATTTAAAAAATTTGCTAAGGGTTTCTTAGCTTTGCAATCAAAAGTATTTTATATTTTTGGTAGACTAAACAAGACGAAATGTTTCATGCTTAATTGAAACAAGCCGTGACTTAAACTAAACGACAACTTAATAGTTTTGGTAGAAACAAACAAAAACAGTGAGCCTGTTGTAGGTTTTAAAGAAACATGACATTTTCAACAATAATAAATCGCATTTGATTATAAAGTTACATGACTTGGAAAATTATTTCAGACAAAGCGAGAGGGAGAGAAAGACAAAGAATAAGAGACAGTGAAATCGATAGAGAGAGAGAGAGAGAAAGAGAGAGAAAGACAGATAGAAAGAAAGTAAAATAATGAAAGACGATATAGAAGATTTAGAGACAAATACGAAATAGAAGAGTAACAGATAATATTGAGAAAAAAAAAGGAAGAGAAGAAAGAGAGAATGAGAGAAAGAGAGAGAGCAAGAGAGAAAGAAAGAGACTGGGAGAGAACAAAACAGATAGAGAGAAAATAGATAAGAAAGAGAGAGAAAGCGAAAGAGAGAGAAACAGACAGACAGAAGGAGACATTGTGAGAAATAGACAGAGAGAGAAAGAGACAGAGAGAGAAAGAGACAGAGACAAAAAGACAGAGAAAAGAATTAATTATAAGTTAATGAGAAAGAGAGAGAGAGAGAGAGAGAGAGAGAGAGAGAGAGAGAGAGAGTAAGAGAGAGAGAGAGGAGGAGGGCGAGGGTGGAAGGACCTGATATAAAATAAAAATCCTGTACTGTATAAAGATAAAGATATAATTGAATCTAACAAAAATCTTAGCATAAAATTAGAAAATAAGAGAGAGAGAGAAAGAGACAGAGAGAGAGAGAGAGAGAGACAAAAAGAAAGAGAAAAGAATTAATAATAAGTTAATGAGAAAGAGAGAGAGAGAGAGAGAGAGAGAGAGAGAGAGAGAGAGAGAGTAAGAGAGAGAGAGAGGAGGAGGCCGAGGGTGGAAGGACCTGATATAAAATAAAAATCCTGTACTGTATAAAGATAAAGATATAATTGAATCTAACAAAAATCTTAGCTTAAAATTAGGAAATTGGTGAATGATGAAATAATCACATACGTCACAATGGCATAGGTTACATTTACCATGGTTACAACTATGCAGTTGACAAATATATAGGTCAGAATTATTCAGTCACCATGAAATAAATCACATAAATCACAATCAGGTAAGGAAAATTATGTGGGTATTTAATACATATAACACAATTACATTGGTCACAATTACATAGTCACATTAACAGAGGTAAAAATTACATGAATCACAGTTTTATAGGTCAAAATTACATGTCAAAATTATAAATTTCACTATTACATATGTCACAAATATATAGTCACAATTAGGCAGCTATCAAAATTGTTAATTTGTTATTTTAACAAAACAAATTTATTTGAAAAAATATGTTTAATATCGGTTTCTTTTGCAGGTATTTCAAAAAATTGTTCTTCGCTGTAATGTAAATAACGCATTTGTAAATAATAACTCTTATTTACAGGGTAGTTGCAATACTATTCTGAATACACTGCTGATGTCATATTCTGAATACACTGCTGATGTCATATTCTGAATACACTGCTGATGTCATATTCTGAATACACTGCTGATGTCATATTCTGAATACACTGCTGATGTCATATTCTGAATACACTGCTCATGTCATATTCTGAATACACTGCTGATGTCATATTCTGAATACACTGCTGATGTCATATTCTGAATACACTGCTGATGTAATATTCTGAATACACTGCTGATGTCATATTCTGAATACACTGCTGATGTCATATTCTGAATACACTGCTGATGTCATATTCTGAATACACTGCTGATGTCATATTATAATTACTAGTATCATTGTAGGGAACAAGATATAAAACATTATGTCTGGACTTTTTTTATTTTAGATTTAATTTTTCAATGACAGAGATAAAAAAAAACAACTGATTGCTGACATGCACTTCTTGTTGACATTGCACTGATGACATATGACATGATTGGACTTTCGTTAATTATGTGAGTCTTCGTGTGGGTGGATTGATGTGTGGGTTGGTGGAGGTATTTTTTGGCTTATTACAATGTCAGCTTGTAGGATTCAATTTAAGTCTGATATTATCTAAACACTGAGTAACGCACATGACTTTGTGAAACATTTTTCAAAGATCATTTCAAAGTTCATGAAATTTGTTTACTTGTCACCGGGAGTCATGAGCACTGAAGGAGAAAACCCAAAATTAAAAATTCTTGCTTTCTTTTATTCCTAAGGTTGTCCTGGCTGGGGTACAAATTATTTTATATTAATTGAAGGGACAAAGCAGGAAAATATTCTATATGTTGTTGGACACAGGATATTGCTTAACTTATTGCCACCTTAAGAATGTTCTTGAAAAAAAAAACAGTTGGCTACTTTTAGTTTTTTAAGAAGCATTACATTGTCAGCAAGACTTTACTTTTGCACACTTTACATGATTGGGAAAATAAATTCAGAGAAAGAGAGAGGATCTGTTTAGGTCCGCCTATGACTTGTGATGCACCCTCCTTGCCCTGCCTCATTTTCTATCTCGGGTTGATCCTGTAGTTCAGGCCAAAACGTGCCAAAGTGTCCTATTTTTATAGCCATTTTAATTGTTTCTATAGTATAGTAGTTACTATCCTAGTGTCTCATTTTTATTTTTGTTAGTTTACATGTTTTTAATAATTGTAAAGCGCTTAGAGCTTTAAGGTAAGCGCTATATAAAAAATGCCTAAATGCTTAAATAAATAAATAAATAAATAAATGAGGGAGAGAATGAGATAGATATAGAAAGGAAGAGAAAGAGAAAGATAGTGATAAATAGACAAAAATATATAGTGCAAAAGAAGAGAGAAAGAAGTAATGAGAAGACAGATAGAGAAATGACGAGAAAAAAAAGAGAGAGAAGAGAGACAGAAAGAGAAGAGAAATAGAAGAGAGAGAGAGAGAGAGAAAGAGAACAGAAAGAGAAGAGAAAGAGAAGAGAAAGAGAAGAGAAAGAGAAGAGAAAGAGAAGAGAAAGAGAAGAGAAAGAGAAGAGAAAGAGAAGAGAAAGAGAAGAGAAAGAGAAGAGAAAGAGAAGAGAAAGAGAAGAGAAAGAGAAGAGAAAGAGAAGAGAAAGAGAAGAGAAAGAGAAGAGAAAGAGAAGAGAAAGAGAAGAGAAAGAGAAGAGAAAGAGAAGAGAAAGAGAAGAGAAATAGAAGAGAGAGAAGAGAAACAGAAAGAGAAGAGAAAGAGAAGAGAAATAGAAGAGAAAGAGAAGAGAAAGAGAAGAGAAATAGAAGAGAGAGAAGAGAGACAGAAAGAGAAGAGAAAGAGAAGAGAGAGAGAGAGACAGAAAGAGAAGAGAAAGAGAAGAGAAAGAGAAGAGAAAGAGAAGAGAAAGAGAAGAGAAAGAGAAGAGAAAGAGAAGAGAAAGAGAAGAGAAAGAGAAGAGAAAGAGAAGAGAAAGAGAAGAGAGAGAAGAGAGACAGAAAGAGAAGAGAAAGAGAAGAGAGAGAGAGAGAGAGACAGAAAGAGAAGAGAAAGAGAAGAGAAAGACAAGAGAGACAGAAAGAGAAGAGAGAGAGAAGAGAGAGAGAGTGAGAGAGCAAGGGGAGGAGTGATTTGATTTAAAATGAAAATGCATTAACGTAAAAAAAAAAGTAAGTCTAATTTAATTAAACAATAATCGGATGTAATATTTGGAGTTGACGAAATATGTAAAAATATTAATGTCATAAGTAATAAGTAACAAGTATTCAAGTAATAATTAATAATCTGTTATTTCAACAAAACACATTTTAAAAAGAAAATGTGTTTAATGATATTTTCTTTTGCAAAATTATCATGAAATATTCTTTGTTATAATGTAAATAAGTAATTTGTATAAAATACCTATTTTTAAAGGGTAGGAGAAATGCTCTTTTGAATACAATGCCGAGTGATATAATAACTAGTATTATTTGAACGAATAAGATGGATGTCTTTGACTTTTTAAGGATTTAAACTTTCAATGATAGTGATAGAAAGAGCCGATTGCTCACCTGTACTACTTGGTTCTATGGTCCTGATGACAGCTGGAATGACTTTAAAAATGTAAATGAGAGGAATTTCGTTAATTATGTAGTTATTTCTTTGTGTGGGCGGGTGGATGTATTTTTAGTATTATAACAATATCAGTTGTAGCATTAAATTTAAATCTGATATTATCTAACATGGATTAAGGCATGTGACTTTGTTAGAACTTTTCACAGATTATTTCAAGTTTATAAAAAAAAAATTACTTACTTGACACCAGTTTCACTGTAACTAAAGGAAGAAACGCGCAATTAATATAAATAAAGCTAAAAAAGAATTATTACATTTTATTTTCTATTGCCTATAGTTTCCTAGCTGGGCTACACAGAATATTAAATAAATGTAGGAGACTAAAAAAAAAAATAAATAACTCTCATGAAATTTTTGACACAGCAGGACATTGCTTGAACTGAATGACAACTTAAGTGTGTTGTGACAACTTAAGTGTGTTGTGACAACTTCAGTGTGTTGTGACAACTTCAGTGTGTTGTGACCAATTCAGTGTGTTGTGACAACTTAAGTGTGTTGTGACAACTTCAGTGTGTTGTGACAACTTCAGTGTGTTGTGACAAATTCAGTGTGTTGTGACAACTTAAGTGTGTTGTGACAACTTCAGTGTGTTGTGACAACTTAAGTGTGTTGTGACAACTTCAGTGTGTTGTGACAACTTCAGTGTGTTGTGACAACTTCAGTGTGCTGGTGAACAAACCAGTGGGCCAAATTTAGTTTTTGAAAAAGCATGACTCACTCGCGTTTGCACAATTTACATGACTGTAAAAACTATTTCATATGTCACAATTACATTGTCTAAAACAACATAGATTAAAATTTTCATTTGTCACATTTAAGTATAATAATTACATAGGTAAAAATTACATTGGTCAAAATTAAATAGGTCAAAGAAAGATAGTTCACAATAACATATGTCATAATTACATATATAACATTTGATAGGTCCGAATTAAAAATAACAAATTTACACATCTCATAAATACACAGGTCACAATTATAGTTTAAAGTTTCATGATGGTTCATTTTGCAGGTATTCCTTAAATTATTGTATTGTTATAATGTAAACATTTCATTACTAAATAATTCATATTTTTTACAGTTTAGAATCAATGCCGATGTCAAATAATTACTAGTATCATTGTACTGAACAAGATTTTAAACAATATGTCTGGACTTTTTTAAAAAGATTTAAAGTTCAATAAAGACGAAGGAAAAAGCTGATTGCTCACCTGTACTACTTGGTGCCATGGTACTGACGACAGCTAAAATGAGTTAGAATATGTTAATTTTAGTAATTTTACGAGTGTCGGTGGATGTGTGGATGGAGGTATAATATGAATTGCCAATTATTTTTGCAGCAGCATGTGTTTAATTGTTAAAATTATTATTACAACATTTTTTGTTAAAAACGTAACACATAATTTGTTACAAAATACTCTTTTCATTAACATTAAATACACTTTGATAAAGGCTAAAATACATGAAACAAGGCTATGAATTTACACTTACTTTAAAATGTCATAGATTGATACATAAGAAATAGAACAAAAGAATTTAAATGCCGACATATTTTGACAGAATTTATTTAAACGATATTGAATTGGCCACTTTATGACAGAATTTATCGAGAAGACATTTACATTCAACTATTTTGACATAACATACTGAGCAGATATTAAAATATCCACTTACTTTGACATACATTTTTAAGGAGAAATCGAAATTTCCACTTACTTGGCATAATGTTTTGAGTACACTTCAAAATGTTTACATAATCGGCATAATTTTATTATAGATTAAAAAGACACGAACAAATAGTGTCAATATAACAATATGGGTTAGCTTTAATAATAATTATACATCATACATAATTAAACGTTTCGGCACATGCCTTCATCAGTACAAACAAACAAAACACCTTCAAATAAGTATAAATTAAATTTACATAATATCAATATACATATCCTACCTAAAACAGAAAAAATATAGGAGAGGGCGCTAAAACCAGACAAAAACAAAGTAAAGAGAAGTAGATTTCCTTTCTACTTCTCTTTACTTTATTGTTATATTGACACTATTTGTTCGTGTCTTTTTAATCTATTTAAAGCTTTATCGCAGCCCAACACTTCTTATAATTTTATTATAAGGCATTGAAATGTTTACTTTGTGACACAATATTTGAGAAAACATTTAAATTGCTACACATTTTAACATCAATTTTTAAGAAGGCGTTTAAATGTCAACTTACATTAAAATAATTGTTTGAGAAAACATGGAAAGGTCCACTTACTTGGACAAAGTTTATTGAGAAGTTGGCCAAGAATGTAATCTAATTTATTATAGTCATTGACCATGAAAACGTCGGTGGGCTCGCTGATGTCATTGAGCTCGGACTCATCGATTATGTCTCCAAATCCGATCGATATCGTTGTGATGTTATTGACTCTCAGACCTTTTGCCTCTAGCAGAGCTGAGATTGACAAATTAGAATACAGCTGAGATTGACAAATTAGAATACAGCTGAGATTGACAAATTAGAATACAGCTGAGATTGACAAATTAGAATACAGCTGAGATTGACAAATTAGAATACAGCTGAGATTGACAAATTAGAATACAGCTGAGATTGACAAATTAGAATACAGCTGAGATTGACAAATTAGAATACAGCTGAGATTGACAAATTAGAATACAGCTGAGATTGACAAATTAGAATACAGCTGAGATTGACAAATTAGAATACAGCTGAGATTGACAAATTAGAATACAGCTGAGATTGACAAATTAGAATACAGCTGAGATTGACAAATAGAATACAGCTGAGATTGACAAATTAGAATACAGCTGAGATTGACAAATAGAATACAGCTGAGAGTGACAAATTAGAATACAGCTGAGATTGACAAATAGAATACAGCTGAGATTGACAAATTAGAATACAGCTGAGATTGACAAATAGAATACAGCTGAGATTGACAAATAGAATACTCACTGACATGGTTAGTAACGTGTTTTATTAACATTGACTAAAAACTACACAACTCTCCTTCTCACTATTACCCAAGCACTGCTCACTCCTACTCACTATTACCCAAGCATTGCTCATTTCGGAAACATTTGTTCAGATTTTTTAAAGTTGTTTCAATACAAAAGTTCAATATTTTCAGTTCCAGCGCCTTAAAAAAAAAAAGCATAACCAGACATATATTTTTTTTAATATTTGAAGAACAAATATGTCGGTTATTCTACTGAATTTTACATAGACCACAAATATACAACACACACAGATCACTAAATAGCACCGACAGAACACAAAAGAGAAAACTCAACCACAGAATCCAACAGACGTATCACCAAAGTACATCATTATTATTTTCTCATAATGGCCTGCTGGCGGTGACCACGCAAAAAATAGTTCTGAACTTCCTTTAGAAATGGTCTTTTGATTTCTAATTATGTTATTGTAAACATACTTTTACACTAAATGTATCCCTTAAACACATATTATACATATCTTAGACTTAAATATACCCACTCACATATACATCAAAACATACGTTTAACACAAAACACTGTGTATACTTTTAAAACACTAAGTTTACACACTGAAATACTAAGTATACAAAATCATATAAAAAAAAGCACATCATAAATAAAGTATAAGCCTTATACACACTCAGACACTCAGTATATATACCTATACACAAAGTATATATATTTTACACTAAGTTTACACACTCATACACGAAGTATACAAGATCATACACAAAGTATACCCTTCATACTCTAAGTATACTCAGACACAAACACAAATAAAATAAGTATAAAAGCTATGCACTTGGTATGAATACAGATACAATAAGTATCGACACATATACACTAAGTATACACAATCTTAGTCTCATTTAAATGATAAGGCCATGGTCACAATAATACGTTGAATAAAGTTTTTTTTTTTTTTATTAAAGCCAAATTACCCTAAATCTGCCATTGCCCTTTTATTCATTTATTAATTTAAAAAAAAATATATATAGTTCTTAATTCACTTAAAAAACTAAACTTAACAAAGAAAATATTGATAATATTAGTTACTTAGCATAAATAACCCTTAATGTAAGAATTACTACTTGCATTTTATATAAGTTTTAAAAATTAATGTATTCTCTGAGAGAAAAACAAAATCCTAGAACGAGTATTATTTGAACTTACTCTCATTTCTAGAAGTGGAATATCCATCTGTCATGAGTATAATAACATGGGGATAGTTTACACGTCCATGTTGTAAGAATATTTGTCTTGCCATGTTCAAACCTTTGTCTGTGTATGTGAATCCACCAGGGTAGGGAGCGTCATCTATCACCTGATGCAAGTTAGAAGCGGAGTCGAAGGATGTTAAGGTTTTACATGATATTAGTTAAACAGTGTGTTTTACCAAGCAGCTTGTTTGAAGCAGTTGTAACACGCAGCTCGTTTTAGGCAGTTGTAACACGCAGCTCGTTTAAGGCAGTTTGTAACACGCAGTTTGTTTGAGGCAATTTTTTTATGTAGACGACGTTTTAACGTCACTTTCCCCATGCCGTGAACTCTGTCTGACCCCAAATTAGGATGTTTTCGTATTGGGCGTAGCTTATTCCCTTTGATCTTATTTATCACAATTTAAGCTCTCGCTTATTTTGGTTGAGTCGAAGGCCTTAGAAAATTATAGTTGATTGTGGAATGTTCTAGTTACTAGTACAATCCGGAATACGCCCCGTATTTTTGGTAGAACAGACGATAAAAGCAAAGAGAGAAATATTGAAAAAAAAAAGATATTTTGACTTCACGAGACAAGGGTGTATTCTGTGTGTCTTTTCGTATTGATCATTGTACATTATTTTGGCACATTGCATTAACTGTGTATCGGTACAAGACATATACAACTCTGTAAGTTGATGACTTTTAATTATATTTCTTTTATTTTTAATTATATTGATACTTAAAGAAATCTTATTAATTGTAATTAGCAAATGTTTTGAGAGTCGTATTGTTGCTATTGTAATTCTTATATGGCATTGTCCCTTGTTATGCACTGTTTAGAACAAGCAATAAACTTAAGATAAGAGATTAAGATAAGATTAATTTCTCCATATAGAATGCAATGCGTAACACAGTTGTAACAAGCAGTGTGTCTTAGGCAGTTGTAGCATGCGGCATGTTTGGGCAGTTATAAAAATTAGTGTGTTAAGGGCAAAAAATAACCCGTGCGTCCTAGGCAAAAAAGAACAACAAAACAAACAAAACACTTGTTTTGATACTTTGAGCCACTTGGTAAAATTGAGCCAATTGGCAACTTGAGCCTCTTGATCTCTTGAGCAACTAGATGACTGGCTCACCGTTTGGATGAACCGATGTTACATTCGCCATCAAAATTATTTCAATTAAATTCATTTCTACCAACAAGAAGCTGTTTCTATTATTGAAAGTTTAATGGTTATCTAGTTTGATTTTTTAATAAGGCGACTTCGTGGACTTATGTGGTATAATTTAGAAATTTTATCACCCTAAGTGACTATTTATGCATACCTTTAAAACAAAGATAATTTTTTTTTCTTCATTGTTTACTCATATAAGACATTGTATACTTCCTGTTTACCTCATTAAGTTCCTGTATATCATTGTAGGATTCCAGGTCAAATATTGTCTGGACATCGTCACTGAATATAACCAATCCGAATCTTAGGTCCGACGAACTTCCAGATGTAGAACTGTTGATAAAATTTTTGACGAACGAGAGGACCATTCTGTACTGGTCATCACCGATACTTCCAGAAGCGTCAAGGACAAAGACTATGTCAGCACTTGCGTTGCATAGTGTTATTGGAGACACATCTAACCTCGGAAAAAATAACAGCAAGAAGGTTTATTTTGCTTTTATGAGAAATCTTCGCATTATTGGTGATAATAATGACTTCAATTGTGATCATTTACATGTGGTAATCCTTTGTAAAGCACGCTGTACATCATAACAAGACTGAGCAAAAAAAAAATCTTTTTTTCAAAGTTTACTTAAACGTCTAAATTGTGTTGAACCTAAAAGTTAAATTCTGAATAGTTTAACTCATTTTTCAGTATGGGCTCCGGGCTCCAATGTCCAACTTTCTATCACGGAAATTTGTGATTATAAATTGTCAATGTTTGTGTCCTTGGGCCCTGTTATATATATAAAATAATAGTCGATGTTGGTTGTCTTGGAGCGTGTTATAAACAATATTGCATCGCCTGAGATGTAGGTTTCAGTAGATGAATGACAGTTCCTAAATCTTAATAGCTAACGTCACTAAAACAAACACACACACACACACGCATGTACACAAAATAAAAAAAAATTATTGAAAAGTGCCATCTGTTCTTTGGTTTTAAACAGCTAAACATTTTAGTGTTTGAGTTTTATAGTACGTATCAAACTCTTTTATAATTTGCATCCATCACTAAATTATTGAATCGTGATTGTGTGAATCTTTATAATTTATCACAATTTAATACCGTACTAATCTTAAAGCATCATTTAACACAATAATTGGAAGTAATACTTAGAATTGGTCAAATATGTATTAATAAAACACGTCTGAAATACATAGGTTACAAATACATCAAACAAAATTATATAGGTCATTATTACAAAGGTAAAATAACACAAGTCACAATTACATAAGTCTAAATTACATAAGTCATTTTTACATACGTTAAAATTACATAGACACAATTACGTATGCAAACATTGAATATATCATAGTAACTTGGGCGAAATTAAATGAGTCAAAATTTTATATTTAACAATAACATAAGTTACATTTACATAGGTCACAATAACATAGGTTATTTTTATAAAGGTAACGATAGCATATGTCAGAATTACATAGTTACAATCACATACATCATAATTACTATTGTCATAATTATATATTGCGCAATTACAAAAGTGGCAAATATCCAAATATCAATTAATGAATTGTGATTTTAACAAAATACATCTTAGAAATGTTTGTCAATGTCAACATTTTCATTGATTATTCTTTGTTATAATATAAATGTCTAATATAATAATAATACTTCTTATATTTAGGGTAGAGGAAATGCTATTATGAATATAATGCCGATGCCGTATTATAATTACTAGTATTATTGTCATGATCAAGATCTAAAACATTATGACTCGACCATTTTAAAAATATTTAATCTTTTGATAGAGATTGAAACAACTGATGGCTTACCTGTACTATTTGGGGCAATGGTACTGACGACAGCTGAAATGAGTTTTAAATGTTAATTATTGAAATTCCCTTAATTGTGTAGTTTCAATTGTGTATTTGGTTGGATGTGTAGGTTACATGCGGCCCGCCAGCACCCACTTTGCGGCCCGCAAGTTAACGAACTATTCTTTATTCTAATTATTTTCTTAATAGATTTCCCACTGTCCTATTTTCTATTGACTGGCACAATTTTTTCATAAGGTATTACGGCCCATCTTACATGTTGTGTAGGCCTGCTTTAAATGATAGAAAGAGCTGATTGCTCACCTGTACTACTTGGTTCCATGGTCCTGTCGACAGCTGGAATGACTTTTAAAATGTAAATGGGTGGAATTTCGTTAATTATGTAGTTCTTTATGTGGGTGGGTGGATGGGTGGATTGGTAGAGGTATTTTTATGATCATTAACGATATCATATTTTAGCCTTAACTTAAAATCTGATTCTAACTATTATGGATTAACGCATGTGACTTTGTTAAATTTTTCACAGATTATTTCAAAGATCATGAAATTTACTTACTTGACACGGGGGCCACGATAACTAAAGGAAGAAACACACAATTAATAATAAAAATAACTATTTAAAAAAAAATTATTTAAATTTTATTTTTCTATTAATTATATTTTCCTAGCTGGGCTACATAAAATATTATATAAATGTAGGAGACTAAATCAGTAAATATCTCTCATGATTTATTTACACAACCGGACATTGTTTAACCTCAATGACAACTTATGAGTGGTGGTGAACAAACGTGTGGGCCAAAATGACGTTTTTTCAAGGAGCATAACATTGTTAACAAGACTAACCCGCATGTGCACACATTTCATGACTGTCAAAACAATTTCAGAGAAATAGAGAGAGAGAGAGAAAGAGTGAGAGAATGAGAGAGAAAGGAGAGACATAGGATTTGAGCTTTAACTTGGAATTGGTTACATATGTCACAATTACACAGGTTATAATGACATAGATTTAAAAACAAAAAATGTCACATTTAAGCACGTCATAGTTACAAAAGTCAAAATTACATTGGTCAAAGTTTTAGAGTTCACAAAAACACATGACAGAATGACATATTTCACATTTTCATAGGTCAGAACTAAAAATAACACATTTACACCAATCATAATTACCCAAGTCACAATTATAGTGCACTGTGGGTTCATGTTACAGTTGTTTCTTAAATTATTGTTTGTTACAAAGTAAATACCTCCTTACGAAATAATTCTAATTTTTATTTTCTATTTTAAAATGAATGCCGATGTCAAATAATTACTAGTATTATTTTACTGAAAAAAATCTTAAACACTATGTCTGCACTTTTCCTTAGATATAATCTTTCAATAAAGATGAAGGGAAAAGCTGATTGCTCACCTGTACTACTTGGGGCCATGGTGCTGACGACAGCTAAAACTAGTTTTTAAAACGTGAATGAGTTAAAATGTGTTAGTTATGTAGTTTTATGAGTGTCGGTGGATGTGTCGATGGATGTATTGGTGGTTGTGTCGGTGGATGTGTCGGTGGATATATTGGTGGATGTGTCGGAGGATGTGTGGATGGATGTGTCGGTAGGATGTGTTGATGGATGTGTTGATGGATGTGTCGGTGGATGTGTTGATGGATGTGTCGGTGGATGTTTCGGTGGATGTGTCGGTGGATGTGTCGGTGGATGTGTTGATGGATGTGTCGGTGGATGTGTTGATGGATGTGTCGATGGATGTGTCGGTGGATGTGTTGATGGATGTGTCGGTGGATGTGTTGATGGATGTGTCGGTGGATGTGTTGATGGATGTGTCGGTGGAAGTGTAAATATGAATTGTCAAATATTTTTTCAGCAGCATCTGTTTAATTGTTAAAATTGCTATTAAAACATTTTTTAAAAAACTTAACCCATAATTTGTGACAAAATACTCTGACCATTAACATGAAACTCACTGTGATAAGGGATATGTGACCGCAAATTTGTGAAATGCAGGCATTATATAGAAAGAAAATGTTTTTATTTGAAAATGAAAGATAACAATAAACCGGAAAACAAAGGCGGCATCGTGCTACTCGATGTAGCAAGGAAGGCAAGCAAAAGTGACATCGAGCTACTCGATGCAGCAAGGAAGGCAAGCAAAAGTGACATCGAGCTACTCGATGCAGCAAGGAAGGCAAGCAAAAGTGACATCGAGCTACTCGATGCAGCAAGGAAGGCAAGCAAAGGTGACATCGAGCTACTCGATGCAGCAAGGAAGGCAAGCAAAGGTGACATCGAGCTACTCGATGCAGCAAGGAAGGCAAGCAAAGGTGACATCGAGCTACTCGATGCAGCAAGGAAGGCAAGCAAAGGTGACATCGAGCTACTCGATGCAGCAAGGAAGGCAAGCAAAGGTGACATCGAGCTACTCGATGCAGCAAGGAAGGCAAGCAAAGGTGACATCGAGCTACTCGATGCAGCAAGGAAGGCAAGCAAAGGTGACATCGAGCTACTCGATGCAGCAAGGAAGGCAAGCAAAGGTGACATCGAGCTACTCGATGCAGCAAGGAAGGCAAGCAAAGGTGACATCGAGCTACTCGATGCAGCAAGGAAGGCAAGCAAAGGTGACATCGAGCTACTCGATGCAGCAAGGAAGGCAAGCAAAGGTTACATCGAGCTACTCGATGCAGCAAGGAAGGCAAGCAAAGGTGACATCGAGCTACTCGTTGCAGAAAGGAAGGCAAGCAAAGGTGACATCGTGCTACTCGTTGAAGCAAGGAAGGCAAGCAAAGGTGACATCGTGCTACTCGATGCAGCAAGGAAGGCAAGCAAAAGTGACATCGTGCTACTCGATGCAGCAAGGAAGGCAAGCAAAGGTGACATCGTGCTACTCGATGCAACAAGCAAAATTGACATCGAGCTACTCGATGCAGCAAGGAAGGCAAGCAAAGGTGACATCGTGCTACTCGTTGTAGCAAGGAAGGCAAGCAAAGGTGACATCGAGATACTCGTTGCAACAAGGAAGGCAAGCAAAGGTGACATCGTGCTACTCGATGCAGCAAGGAAGGCAAGCAAAATTGACATCGAGCTACTCGATGCAGCAAGGAAGGCAAGCAAAGGTGACATCGTGCTACTCGTTGTAGCAAGGAAGGCAAGCAAAGGTGACATCGAGATACTCGTTGCAACAAGGAAGGCCAGAGTGGCATTTTGAAACGCAATTAATTTTCTTTTTTTAACAAAGACACTTCATGTGTTGGCAACTGGTCTTGCACATACAACCCACGAATCCTTGACCGATTCCTATTGACTGAGAGATAGCAGTTGATCGGAGAGTTATTTCGTGCTTAGGGACGTCTTCAACTCTCATTAAATCTTTTGGACTTACAGCGAACTGTCATCTCATTTAAAATCATTTCAAGATTCCTTGTGCAGTTTCAAGTCAGTAAAAGCCGTCTTCTGTCTCTGTCATAACAACTGCCAACAGTTTGCGTTATTTACCCCGTTCCTTGTCAACGTCTGGAATAATAACTCACACAGTGGCTCCTAAAGGTGCAGGGATAATTTTTTTGTCAGAGTCTATTTTCATTTTTTTTTGGGGTCTGGATTTCAAGGTTTGATTTAGATTCTTTTCTAGCCTCTACAGTTCTCTTTATCTTGAAACATAATCTGCACAAAATACCAACACCATAACTTTCTCTTTCCTCGTATCTATCAGCGTTAGCAGTATGCCCACAGATAACATGAACATTACGGTGACAGTTTCGGCATGTATGGGCATCGCTGATTTCTTTTAAGCAGACACAACAAACACCAGAAGGGGAAGACTCTTCGGTAACTATGACGTCACAGTCAGTTTTGTTTCCTCTATAATTGATTGCATTCTCTTTATTATTCTGTGTAGCAGGCTCTGTATTTGGCATCCGACGCTTTGTTTCCTCGCGCTGTGCTGTTTTTGTGCTTTCTATTATTGTTTCGAGTTCTTCCTCAGTATGTATGTCTTGCAAAACGTCAGGGGGTATGGAAGACGTTGCGTGGCCCACTTTAGCTTTGCAGCCAAACATAACTTCATAAGGCGTTCTCTTAATCCCAGAATGAAATCTCTGTTATCCATTAGTTGGATGACTCGTATATAATCCATCTGCAGCCAGTGGTTAGATTTTTCATCTTGCATCCAAGCTCATAGCAAGTTTTCGATGGCTTCATTAGCTCTTTTGACTCTCCCCTGGTTGTGTGAGTGGCGCGGTTTGCCATGGACGATACTCAACTTTGGCCAGTACTCCTTTAGGTTGTTCACCACATTGTTGGTAAATTCCCGGCCAATATATGACTGTAGATCTGGTGTGTAAGCTACCTCTAGCGCCCTCTTTGTTGTTAGAGCCCTAAGAACCACACAATTTGTGAAATAATCTTGGTACACCATTATAAATGTATATTCCTTGTTAGGATGGGACTGGAAATCGATAAGATTGACCTGGCCTCGGGAGTTGAATTCAGAAAAAGTCATAGGCTTCACCACAACACCCTTTGTGAAACCTTTTTGTTTCTTCTGGAAAGGTTCAGACGGTGGAGGTAAAGTTCAATATCATTACGTGTAAGGTTCTTATACTTGTGTGAAAGTTCTTTCAACATTATGTCCCTTTCTCCATGTCCAACGGCCAAATGATCCTCGTGAGGTACGTCAAAGAATTCAGAATCGGTGAAATAGAACTGAATAGCACTGTCGCCTTCTTTAACAGGATAGGTCAACTTACTTTTGTTCTCTAATGCCATGACATCATAGAGTTTCAGCAGCCAATCGTCTCGTGGTTTCTTCTGAGTTGTCATCCAAACGATTTTCACATCACCCACCAATTTTCGGTATCTATATTCCGTTAGAGGTTTTTATTAGCACTATTGGCTCGTAATTGAGAAAGTTCATCGAGAACCACCTTTGCATGTAAACATATCCTAATTCCTGATCTGAAACTACAATCTGATCTTCCAACATCTCAGCAGCCGTCTAGAAACAATAAGGAGGCTACGCCTTGCAGGCACGTATAGACTCGGGCTCCTGATTGAATGCAATTTTATGTGTGTTTGACTGATTTTTGTATTGTTTTTTCTGTACTGGATATCCACCATGGACCACTACTTTGATTCGGATATGTTTTGTGTCCCTCCTAACTTTGGACTTTTGTTGTTTTGGATTTTCTTTGTTGCAAAGGTTAGTGAGATTCACCGCCTACACGGTCGGCCATCTTTGTCGGCACCACGCTCATCGCTCGGTCAAGTCGACGTTACGGTCAGTGACACACGCAGCCCCCACGGCGGTAACCGACCTGTGCTTGCATACACACGTGATCGTCT